ATGCATGAAAAATTAGATGGAATAAAGATCTGAGCGACTTTGACAATGGATAAATTGTTATGGCACAGCGACTGGGTCTGATGAGTCCTATTATTACATAACGTGGACACGGCCATGTAATGTGTGCCGTTTACCTGGGGAAGTGATGGCACCAGGATGCACTTTGGGTGATGACAAGTCGGTGGAGGGAGTGTGATGCTCTGGGTAATGTTTTGCTGGGAAACCCTGGGTTCGGCCTTCATGTTCAAATTTGATATGCCACCTAAACATTGTTGCAGACCACCCTTCATGACAATGGTGTTCCCTGGTGAAAATGACCTCTTTCAGCAGGATAATGTACCCTGCCACACTGCACATATTGTTCAGAATGGTTTGAGGAACATGATGAAGAGTTCAAGGTGTTCACAATTTCCCCAGGATCCCAAGGTGTTGAACATCCAAATTCCCCAGATCTCTTTCCAATTGAGCATCTGTGGGATGTACTGGACCAACAAGTTCGATCCATGGTGACTCCACCTCGTGTTTTGGCAGCACACGGATGACCAACAGCATATTAAGCAGGTGGTCACAGTGTTTTGGCTCGTCGGTGTATACCGGTACATGGCTTTTCTGACATTTGTTAACTTGCTCGCACTTGTGATGTGGAGCCCTCTGGTACGAGTCCAACGGCACAAGAGTCATGATAAAGGAGCTCAAAGACTTGTAGACTTGAGCTAAAATGGCAGGGTTGCTACAGCAAATGCGTTTTTATCTCACGTTTGCTTTTATAAGAATATCAGTTAGTGTATGGTTTAGTGTAGGTGCTACATTATTTTCAAACACAATAGAGCAACGAACTGCCGCATAAAACGTGGCCAGATTCACGATCATCTGTTTCACTGACTCTGCATTTGCACCACTCACTGGTTATTTCATGTTGAAAGTGTACAAGAAGCAACTTAATATCATTGTTACAAGAAACTACTATACGTAAAATTATTTAGCAAAATGTCATCACAGACACGCCAAGTCTTTGTCACTGCTCTCTCTCTCTCTCTCTCTCTCTCTCTCTCTCTCTCTCTCTCTCTCTCTCTCTCTCTCTCTCTCTCTCTCTCTCTCTCGCTCTCTCTCTCTCTCTCTCTCTCTCTCTCTCTCTCTCTCTCTCTGTGTGAGAGAGAGAGAGTGAGTAATGGACATACTGATTAAAAAAGTACTTTTTACTTGGCATGTTCTTTATGCAAAAACAGTTTTATTTTACTCAAGGGTTGGAAACTTCATGTTCTCAGATGGCATTTGATTACCAAGCCCAATTAAACGTGTGGACGCTCTTCTCACACCTCTACCTGATCACACGCATCACTAAGACATGCGCAATGAGCTGAATCATGAACTACTTACATGATGTTCTACCTTTGGAATCTGATTTATGTGTTTTTTAATGCCCTGGCAACTGTCAGGATCATAACAGAGGTGCTAATAAATGTAAACATTACATCATGCTTTGTTTTCCCCTGACTGATTAAAAACTTGTGTAAAGTTGATTGATTTATTGTTTGTATAATGACGCGCACAAGAAAAACAAAGCTGCACTGTTTCAAAACGATCACACAAACACATTTGTACATACACAGACTCGAATGTAATGCTTTTCAAAAGGTTCCCGATAATAATAATCAAGTGCACTGTTAATTTCCTCTTGAAAAGTGAGTGTTTGTGATTGTTGATGGAGCCATTTTGAGATTTTAGAGAGTATTTGTGTGTGTTCTTGCTGAATGTGTTTGTGTGTCTGTTTCGTGTAAGTGCATTACGCAAGCGGACACTTGACAATCCGATGACAACCGCCAGTGTCAGTTGATGTTACACATTCATATGAAACCACCAAATGCACAGAGTCACTCGTTTACACCTGAGGAAGGAGAAGCATATTAAAAGAAGGATTAAAAAGAGGAAAGAGATATTGTGATGGCAACAATGACATAATTCAACTGATGTTTGCTCAGAGGAAACATTGAACTTTGTGCTCTTTATTTCTTCACAGTAAGAGAAATATATAGTCATACACTCCACAAAAGTCCTATACATTGTCCACTTGATTGCAAAATGCATTGCTTTGAACTGCAGAGTCGTATGTTCAATGATATGAATATCTATCTATCTAGAATGCAAAAACATGCATTTCACTTATGATATTTTGTTTACAGTTTTGCTAATTTGCTAATGCTTTCAGCTATGAATAATATTGCTCTGTCTAACACATTTGACCAAATGGTTAATGGATGGATTGTAGCTTTCTGAACAATTTGTATTTTAAGAGGCACCATTTTTGTCTTAGAAAAAAGCCTGTGTATGTGCGTGAATGCACACTAAAGTGATGGTGAGATGAATTCCTGGTGTTTCAAGTGTGTCTGAGTGTGTAAAAGGCATTCTAAATGTTTTTTAGTCATGGTGCCAAATGGAAACACCACAGGCACTCCAAAATGAGCTCTCTAAACCCGAGTGAGAGATTCACTGTCATTCTCTCTTTCTCCTCTTGTCTCGCTGTCCTCTTTTAATCTCAACATCATCTCAACCTAATCTTAACCTCTCGCCATCCTGCTCTTCTCTTCTCCTCTGTGCCACTCCACAGATTTTTTTCTTTCCGGATTTTTTTTCTTTTTTCTTTCTCACACTCTCCTCTTCACTCTTTAATTTATCCTGTTCTTCCTCTTTTTCCGTTCAGGCTCATTGAAAAACTCTTCTGTCACACTGAATTCTGTTCTGACATAGAAGTACATTATATGTGTGTGGATATGAAGTTTTACATGAACTATATATATAAATATGTATATATATATATATATATATAATATATATATATATACTATGTATATAATATATATATAAACAGTATATATATATGTGTGTGTGTGTGTGTGTGTGTGTGTGTGTGCCTTAACCTAACAAATGGATACACACACATAGACACACTCGCAGGTTACAATAACTGTCCAAACACTGCCATATTTCTCAGATGCTATTAATATCTTTCTGGACAGCCATTGAAATGTGACGGCAGGGAAAATCTTACTTCCCTTAAGGACAAATGCTGTAATTATAGCTTACTGTTCATTAAAGAAATAGTTCACCCACCAATAGAAATTCTCTCGTCCTTTACTCACCCTCGTGTAATGGTATGACCTTTCTTTCTTCTGTGGAATTTAAGGCAATGTTATGCAGCATGTTCACAGTGTTCTTTTCAATTCAGTGCACATAGCATGACAAAAGTGCTCTCTAACCCTATGAAAAGGGTGTAAAAGTACCATAAAATTGATTCATTGTTATTCTTACTCTGGTTACCCATCATTTGTCATAGTTTTCTAATTATTCTCACACCTGTACTGCTTGATATTCTTCCTGGTGTTTATTAAATATTATTTGATCGTCTTTCTGCATCTCACATCTTTTTTGGCCAAGTCAAGTCACCTTTATTTATATAGCGCTTTTTACAATAGAGATTGTATCAAAGCAGCTTCAGAGTGATAACATGAAAATAAAACAAGAAGTTTGTTTCTAGAAGAAAATTGCATGATGATGATGACGATGGTCCACCTAAAGTAAGGCAGATCAATAATATTGTTGAGTTCTCCTCTGGCCAACGAACGAACAGTGTATGATTATGATTCAGGCAACATTACAGGTCAGAAGTCAGATTGGATCAGAACATTCACAATATCCAGTTCCATCTGGTTGGAGGTCAGAGTCATCACGCCGGTATGGAGAAGAGTTTGTTGAGGTGTCCATGAGGCCTTCACCGGCTGTTGAGGCTGGCACTTCAGGGATGCGTTGTGGTCGTGTCCAGGCGCAGGTTCACCGTCTGATCTGGATACGGCCCGGATCCGGCTGACTTCAGTAAACCTCGGAATAAATGGAAAGACTAACATTAGCGTAGATGCCATTCTTCCTATGATGTAACGAGTACATTGGATGTTGTAGGAAGTGTCCCCGGTTCCGGCTGACCTAATCTATGCAGCCTAATAATCATTTAACTGATTTGAATAATATAAATGCATAATGTTCTATGTGAATGCCAGGTAAAAGAGATGTGTTTTTAGTCTAGATTTAAACTGACAGTGTGTGTCTGCTTCCCGGACAGTGTTAAATGGGCAAATGTTGGTCTCTTCACACTTCGCTACCCGTGATATATTTCCAGATGCAATATAATAGATTTGTTTGAGGTAAAGAGATAAAATTGTCAGTTGTTATTCACTGAAAATTCACTGTAGCCAGATATCATCTCTGCATGCACATTTTCAAATTTGAATGTAAAGATAACATTTGAATCTCTTTCTCACACAAAGCTCTATTGCATGTCTTCAGAAGGCTTGATACTTTGTCATGGTATTTTTATTATGCTTTCTTGTGGCTTGACAGCCACCGTAGAATGATTCTTTGAGAGTGATGTTTCGAACACGAGGATGAGTACATGTTGACAGAATTGTAATTTTTGGATGAACTATTCCTATAATAAAGAAAGAAATAAATTAAATAAGAAATCTCTAGCAAATGTGTCCCATCAATGTTTTGAAGCTACTTGAAACTAATTTATACAGATTGCTCATGTTTTTCATGGCTTGGCTTCATTCAGTTATTTGCTCTATATAGAAAAAACTATATAAAGAACAAAAGCTAAATCTACAAGCAAATGCCTATGTGTATCCATGAGCACCGCCAACTTTCCCAGCTGTATTTTAGCCAAAACCACAGTCACACGTCTCACACACACTAGAGGAGAGCTGCCGTCCCTGCTGAGCTGTTCGCTGTCAGTGCCAAAGTCCATCTTTTAGTCTTCCCATCAGCCTTATAACTGTAAAATGAAGATCAAACATCAAGTTTTTGCATATTATTGACATATTTGAAAGCTCAGCAAATGTGTTTTTAATTTTACTCTCAGCGTTTGCTTTTGAAGTTTGTTGAAAACCATTCTCCTGTGCAATAAATGTGCAATAAATCCTATATACTATGTTCACCTTTTCCCCACAGAAATGTTGGAGTCCAACAACCTGCTCACTTTTCAATGGATTGGCCAACAGCTCTGCCTATCACACCTTTTTATTGGACGAGGAGAGAGGTCGGCTTTTTGTGGGGCAAAGGACCATGTGCTGTCCTTCAACTTGGTGGACATCAACATGGACCAGCAACTGGTAAGAAAAGGGGGTTAGAAGAGCATTAAACCAATTTTGGTGACCAGCACTGCACATAGGACATCATATAAAGTTCTATGTAAAAAGATGTACTTTTAGCCTCTCTTTTTCTCTTGTTCTCTCTCTCTCTCTCTGCCCATACAAACTCGAACACATCAGTACACAGGGGGATCTGTTTCTAGCGAATAGAGTATGAATATTTCAGAGTAAAGCTGTCATACTGATCACATAGAGTCTGGCTGAGAGCTGCTATCCATTCACCTGGATAAATAATGAACAAAATAAACACAGCGAAGTACAGACAAACGGTACCAGGGCAAAACCATAGCCCACTTTAGCTTATATACTTATAAACATAACCTTCACAGAACAAAGGTAAAATAAATCTTACATCATATGGAACAGTTCATACAAGACATGTTGTTTGCATTAAAGAGCAAAAAAATAATAATAAAGAAATTCCCCACAAGTAGTAGTACCAGAAATATTTGATTTTGTGGGGATTTTTTTGGCCCCCATGAGGAAAACAGCTTATAAATCATAGTAAATTATGTTTTTTGAAAATGTAAACATTCAGAAAGTTTTCTGTGAGGCTTGTGTTTAGGGGGAGTTTTAGGTTAAAGAGAAATAATATACTGTACAAACTGTGTGTTGTACAGTCTCTAGAATTATGTCTATGGAATTATGACAATAGGAATTATGACAAATTATGTCTATGGACGTCCTCAAAACATGGAAACACAACAAGTGTGTGTGTGTTTAAATTGAATATCTGATTTTAAGGAGAAAAATGTCCATGACCACTGAAAGAGGATCTACAACAAAAACGTGGGTCGAAAAATACAGTTTTTGTCAGGAACAGTTACATCAGGGTCAAATAATGGCAACATGCAATTTGCACGCTACCAAAGACAATGTTCTTCCTCCATTCAAACTTCCAAATAGAGAATATTCACTGAGCCTATGTCAATTCCATCAGACATACCACCTATCAACCCACCAGAATACCAAATGGAGGTCTGTGCACCTAAGTGGAAAGAGGTAGAGCAGGCTGTGAGAAAGGCAAGGGCTTCATCATCTCCAGGGCCTAATGGAGTTCCGTACAGAGTGTACAAGAGTGCTTCAGGAGTTCTGCGAATTTTGTGGAAATTGATAAAAGTGGCATGGGAAAAACAGGTTGTACCTAGAGCATGGCGCAGAGCAGTTGGAGTCTTTATACCTAAAGAAAAAGATGCTACAAGCATCAGTCAGTTTCGTCCTATTTCACTATTAAACGTTGAGGGTAAGATTTTCTTCAGAATTATTGCCCAGAGATTGTCCACCTACCTGTTAAAGAATGGCTTCATTGACACCTCAGTTCAAAAAGCGGGCATTCCAGGGTTCTCAGGATGCTTAGAACACATCAATGTTATCTGGCAACGAATTCAGTCAGCTAAAAAGGAGAGGAAGGAGCTCCATGTGACATTCCTGGATTTGGCTAATGCATATGGTTCAGTGCCACATGAGCTTCTTTGGGCAGCATTTGATTTTTTCAGAGTACCAATGTCAATAACAAATTTAGTGAAAGCCTATTTTGGAGATTTGCAATTCAGTTTCTCAACTCCAAAATTCAGCACTGCATGGCAATGCCTAGAGGTTGGAATAATGGCAGGATGCACCATTTCTCCACTGGCTTTTACCATGGCGATGGAAGTAATCATTAGGGCATCAAGATGGGTAGTAGGAGGAGAGCGCTTGGCTTCTGGGATGCGACTACCACCAATCAGAGCATACATGGATGACATGACAACCATGACTACAACAGTAGCCTGCACTAATCGGTTATTGGGGAAGTTAACAGACAATATTGAATGGGCACGAATGCAATTCAAGCCCTCTAAATCAAGGAGCATCTCGATAGTTAAAGGAAAGGTAGTAGATAAAACATTCTTCATTAATGGTGAGGCAATACCAACAGTTTCTGAGAAGCCAGTGAAGAGTCTTGGGAGATGGTACGATGGGGATCTAAAGGACACAGTTCGGGTGGGAGAAGTTAGACGACAAGCAGTGGAAGGGTTGAAGAGCATAAACAGCTGTGCTCTACCTGGCAAACTAAAACTCTGGTGCTTTCAGTTTGGTCTACTGCCGAGGTTGCTGTGGCCACTGACCGTGTACAACGTTTCTTTGACAACAGTGGATAAGCTGGAAGCGTTGATAAGTTCATACATCAGGAAATGGATGGGAGTTCCACGCTGCCTCAGCAGAGTGGGACTTTATAGTAAAGGAATATTGCAGCTGCCAGTCTCTGCTTTAACCGAGGAGTTTAAGTGTGCCAAGGTCAGACTGGAAATGACCTTAGTAGAGTCACGCGACAAATGTGTAAGGGAGGCAGCCCCTGTGTTAAAAACTGGTAGAAAGTGGTCAGCAAAGAAATCTGTAGTAGAGGTAAAGGCTGCCCTTCAAATTGGGGATATCGTGGGACAGGTACAGCATGGAAGAGGGGGTTTTGGGCTCAGTTTAGCTCCTCCTAAATGGCACAAGGCAGGCCCAGCTCAAAGGAGGAAGCTGGTAGTCAACGAGGTGCGTAAGCAGGAGGAGAGGATGAGGTGTATAAAGGCCATTTCCCAGGCCAAGCAGGGAGAGTGGATGAGATGGGAGAGTGTTGAACAACGTAAGATGGGTTGGCAAGACCTTTGGTCAATGGAAGAGAGTAGGATCAGTTTCCTTATTAGGTCAACATATGATGTTCTCCCATCACCGCAGAACCTAAACCTCTGGGTAGGAGAGGATCCCTCTTGTCCTTTGTGTTCATCACCTGCCACATTAAGGCACATTTTGACAGGATGTAAGGTGGCTCTTAGCCAAGGTCGGTTTACTTGGCGCCATGACCAAGTACTGCGATGTTTGGCTTTAGCATTAGAAGGCAAGCGTAACATGACCAATAAGTTGCCACCTGTTCTAGCAAGACATTACATGCAGAAGACAATATTCCTCCGCCCAGGCGAGCAACCAGCAAGAAAAGGTGTTAACACCAATTCTCGCCCAGGACAACTGGAAGCTGCTAGGGACTGGAAGATGCTGGCTGATCTTGATCAACGGCTTATTTTTCCACCTGAGATTGCCACCACTATCCTACGACCAGATATTGTTTTGTGGTATGGATCAGCACGCATTGTTCAACTGATAGAGTTAACAGTGCCATGGGAGGATGCGGTAGATGAGGCATATGAGAGGAAGAAACTGTGGTATGCTCATCTGGCCACTGAATCAGAACAGCGAGGATGGAGAGTCCAGGTTTATCCAGTGGAAGTGGGTTGCCGAGGTTTTGTGGCACACTCTACAACCCGGTTCCTCAGAGACATCGGATTCAGCGGCCAAGAGTTGCGTCACACAGTAAAGAACTTATCTGAAGTAGCAGAAAGGAGCAGCAACTGGCTGTGGTTGAGACGGAAAGATTCTAGCTGGCTGTGTGCAGGCCGCCACGCTACGGTTTCGTAGAATTCTTGAAAACTTGAAGAGTCTGTTGGTTTATTTGTATACGTTGTTGCGTGAATGACGGGTGGTTGGGCAGATATTGTGTTTTGCGGTAGGTGGTATGCCATACGGAACCGTTGTCCACTGAAACTGCATATTAACGCACCAGTGGGGCTCGACAGCCTCAGTCAAACGGGTTGGCGCGTATGGTCGGGTTGCGGAGAGATTGTGAGAGTGTGGTTAGGTCTCAGCAGCAGGAGGAATGTAGAGGTCAGCAAGCTGGACTGAGTTGAGTGGGGGACGGAGGGGGGTGACTCTGGGACGCCAGAGTCACTGTCGAGCCCTCTTGAGGTGTCATGGGCTAGTCGACGAAACACTGAGGACGGAAGGTGCCCACTTGAAGACCCTAGAGATGTCCCCTACTCGGCTCAATCCAGACGGTTGTCGTGCTGGTCCTGTAGTTGCAGCCGTCGCGTGTGCTGACGCGCCAAGTTCACTGCAGCCGTTAATGCCGGACAGAAGGAGATTCACACCACCATATGGAAAGAAGCGTAAATGGATGGAGAAGCATAGTTTACTGTAAAGCTACGTCTTAGTTTTGCTTATCTTGGCGAAAGCCGAGTACAAATCAGCATGAAGTTTTAACATCTACTCTCGTGTAATGGAAATCATGTTATACAGACAGTTCTCTCTCTCTCTCTCTCTCTCTCTCTCTCTCTCTCTCTCTCTCTCTCTCTCTCTCTCTCTCTCTCTCTCTCTCTCTCTCTCTCTCTCTCTCTCTCTCTCTCTCTCTCTCTCTCTCTCTCTCTCTCCTTTAGAAACACAGACACATTTTCAGAGCTTATCTGATCAGGATGCAGTTTCACACGTTCACAGCCAGGGACGTGCAGAGATTTCCTCAGGGGCAGGGGCTCAAATGTAAAAAAAAAGGGGCATATATATATATATATATATATATATATATATATATATATATATATATATAAACACATGAAGACCTCCGGTGCAAAAGCCTCTAAAAGCCACCTCTGTCAAAAATGAGATAATAATATTGAGTGAATGCTCTCCGTACATAGGCCTACATAAAAGCCTGATAAAAATGTCAATATTAAATAAAAACTTTGACGGACTTAGAGGCTTTTGCATCTGAAGTCTTCATATTATATAGTATTATAAGTATATAAGTATAATAGTGTATAAGTAGCCTACCGGCCAAAAGTTTGGACACTACTATTTTTAATGTTTTTGAAAGAAGCCTTTTATGCTCATCATGGCTGCATTTATTTGAACTAAAATACAGAGAAAACAGTAATATTGTGTGAAATATTACTACATTTTGAAGTAATTGTTTTCTATTATAATACTTATAACCTTTGATACTTTTTTTTTCAGGATTCTTAGTTTTAAAAAAAGAACAGCATCTTAAAATAGAAATATTTTGTACCAATATACACTACCGTTCAAAAGTTTGGGGTCAGTCATTTTCTTTCTTTCTTTAAAAAAAAAAAGAAAAAGAAATTAATACTTTTATTCAGCAAGGATGTGCT